TTTACTCGTAGATAGATCGTTTCAACAGAGCAACAGATGTCAAAGCGATATTTGATGCAGTCCGTTTGATGGTCACATTCGATCGACAGGTCCAGGTCGATGGAGACCTAAAAGTCAGTTAAAGGAAACATCGTCTGGTGCCTCGGGTTATTTTCAATAGAGTAATTTCTCCGTTTGATAACATTGTAAGCACGTCTGGTCAGCGTTTAAAAATTAGACCGGTTGTAGACGACTGGACAGAGTTTTGAAATTCAATGGTCTGGGCTGCTCAAAGGAGCCCGCTATTATATGGCAAATCACTGTCTTTTATTTGTGAACGCAGCGTAGAACTGAGCATCTTGTCTTGTCAAAACAGTTACTAGGTCTAACAAGCCAAGTGTTTTCAAGCATGTTGTACCCTTTCTATTGAAGTCGCCAGCAACTATACAGATAGAACAAACTTATGTAAGCAGTATCGTTGTAGAAAGTTGGTCTTCAAAAAGCTTTAACTCCGTTGCAGATGTGTCAGGAGCTACCTTCCTGTTGTTCGATGATGCTCTGGGTGGTAACTGGCAGGTCAAGCATATCCCACCTCTAGATCCACCAGCATACATGGCCTGCGTGGGTACATTATCTGAAAATGGGATTGCCTCGTGTGTTTTTTTCCTTGGACGTCAGGTGAGCAATCAAGAGTGACTTCACAATTTCCACTTTCGCCACCAGTCATTCTTTATTCCGCCTATTATTCTTCTCCGTCGATCACTTTGTATAGGGATGGTAGTAGATTGTACGCCGTAATTTCATTCAGTTATATCAATCACAAAACATGCAATAGTGGAACATAACCATACGGCTATTCTGGATAGCAAAACGCAAGTGCCGCCATGGTAAGCAACAAGCCACTGTCAGCTGTCTTTGGCTACACAGCGGTGGTCGTTCACGATCGATAATGATAGCCTCCAAATGCTCAAATATTTGGGCCGTTGATCGAGCATTACGAATGTAAACGACTCATTCCGAGGTAAATTAGTGGAGATAATTTCATTTAAACATTGAAATAGAAAATTTGAAATCTTCTCTGTAGACATCGTTACACATCTCATGTTACGATACGACAGAACTGCGTTAAAGCTAGTTACATCGAATGCATTAAAATAAAACCCAGAATCTAATCATGGTCCTTGCATTAAGCGGTTGGACAGATTTTGTTGTATAACACAGTAAGCGAGGTTTGGGCGGGTAGAATAATGTGCAATACAGAACTCACAACTAATTGTGCAAAGTGAGGATAGCGGACAGAACAAGTTAGCCGTAACAGCATTTTTGACAGCAGACTGTAGGAAAGGTAATCTTAAGAAAAATAGCATGCGAATGATGTGGATGAATAAAGATATTTATTTGAGAATGCGATATCCTACGTCGACAGGTGCATACAATTAGGACAACAGGAAGAAGACTGGAATAGCGGCACTGAGCCATCAAGTGGGTATAATGCATTAGACGCAAATACTCAAAGTTCTTTAGCATTTAGTCACAGTCGTGCAATTGTCCTCGGTTATCGTAGGCAACCATGACGCACAAACGATACGTACTTACGCGCTTGGCTTTGCTCCTCGATCAACACCAAGTTGCGTGGATGTAAACCCTTTAACTTGGCATATATGGGGTGGATGTCAGCGATTAATTGCGATGGGCGAATGTGATCGAAAGTTAAAATTGTGTTGTAGCTTCCTAATAAATGGTCTTGTAGGAGTAATTATTGGATCAGCGGATAGTGCGGAGGATCTGTTATCGAACGTAATTTTAAAGGTATGAGATTAGTTGAAAAGCAACCAAGACATACAAGTGAATTTGAGCAAGTGGCGTGTTTAAGCTGTCTGGGTTACACGAATCATGGTGTACCACGAGGGATTCCGTGTTTCATGACCACTTTTGGTGAAGTTGGAACATATCAAATTTGAGGGTGAGGGACAAAATAACTATACGGCCGTTTCAGCTTGCGCAACTGGTAGTCAAAAGGTGCACAACTAAATGGAACTAGGGAGAGATCAAATTGCTTAACAATTTCTATCATTAACAAAAATGGGGTAGCTCAAACCAGCCTTCCGTATATATGCAGCTCGCCGGTCTATGGTGGAGCCCAAATATTCCGGAAAATCAATCACATATGCAGTGATAGCTGTATAATTTAACCGAGATGCCACCCTTATGAGCTGCTCTGTTACAAATATTGCTAGGGCAAATCTATATAACAACAGCAGACAATCACAAATTGGTAGAATGTTAGGATGTACGAACACCTGACAATTCAATTCAAAGAAAAAGGGATGCAAATAAGACGCCATGACGGTTGGGTGCACAACTATCCACGAATCTTCCGGAGGTTGCTAAGGAACTTCATTGGACAGCACATTCACTCTATTCTGAGGTAGTACGTAGATGTGGAACGGGGCGTAGCTTACGCCAATCAAGTTACTGATGAGGTACCAATATACTATCAAATACCAAAGAACAGTCGACATCACACTGGACGGCATTCTCAAAAACCTGTCTGATTTAGACACCCTGTGAAATCATACTTATTGGGATACACGCCTGCTTCCATACGGATGCTCAGGATCTTTCCAAGTAGCTGACCGAGCTGAAAGAACCCTTAATCTATAAGCTATAAGCGATATATAAGCGATATTATCAGTGTAATTAAATCAAGGTGGGGCCTTTGAATTGGCTGTTGCCGCTCCCACCAAAACATTGCTTTTGCACCATCTACCGTGAGCGGACCAATTTCGGAGGCATATTTAGAGACTTCTTCTGCTGAATAATAACAAGGTCACTGGGCCAATCCACATCTAGCAATGCTTTGAAGTACTGCACAATGAATAACAAATTTATAAAGGTTAAGAAGCGCTGCCTAACAAGTCCCTTTGGATAGTCGGTGGGAGTATCGCCATAACCATGATTATTATAATGATAGTAAAGCAGTTGGTACTTTAACTATAAAAGTAGAAACTTATCGGTCGCTCCGCCGTGGTCATGCAATCCGCTTAGATTCACAGCACCCGCAGTTAACATCAAATAAGTCCATGGTAAACTCCAGGTGTAGGATGGAGACGTAGCGCTAAGTGACAAAGTATGAACGGATGCGTGCATAATCTAACCATCTTTTAAATACTGTTCGTGTCGGTGCAGAGACGACCGATTCTAGGAGAGCATTCCATGGATGACAGACACGAATGGAAAAGAAATTTCGGCGGCACTCCACGCTGCTATACCGAAGAGCGATTTTCAGTGGGTAACTCTTCAGTGTTGTATGGTTGCTGAGCCTTAGTAAAGGGCGGCAGAAATGATGTGGGTCTCGCAGAGTTAAGTATACCATAATCAGGTCGCCCTGTATTCTGCGATAGCTTCCACTAAATAACCTGACGGGTTGCAGCCTCTCCTTGTATTAAAGATTGCGCATTCCAACTACGTTCTTAAATGCCCGACGTTGTGGCTGATCTCCATTGGTGGAGTTTCACCAATGGATGCCAGGCATGAATTTCGTATTCGACATGCGGAGAGTTGCTCGTCTTAATATATTCGTTCGGAACAGGTGTGAGTTGCGAAGAGCAAAGCGATTTATACGTCGGCGAAGGATGTAATGTTACTCGAATAAGCCTGGATTCTCACTAATGTCCAGAACACTTTGAAGCGCCCAGTGATGGCGGTATTCAAGTATGGCCTGTTTAACGCCAGGCAAAGGTAAAGTATTACTCCAGGATTTACTGATGCCTGTGCCTATCCATACCATTACTAATAATGTCCTGTAACAAGTCTACTGCTTCACTTATCAACGGATTTTCAACCCTGCTTGCAGCTGTATTTTAGGTGAGGTCTCACAACGTATCGCAGAGGCACGTTTTGTATTCATAAGACTGAGAAAATTATGACGTCGTCGCGGTCTCAGTATCAAACTCAATGGATGGCTATATGTTGCCTCTGTCCGTGCGGTCCTCTTGTACGGTTATGAGACCTACCCGACTCGCTCAGAAGACCTAAGACGATTTCCAGTTTTCGTCCTTCGTCTGCGCACGATTGCTCGCGGGTAGTGGTAGTATCACTTGTGTAACACGGAAGTACGAGAGCGAGTGTTTGAAGCAAAAAGCCTATGCCTCCAAACGGTTATTTGCCGACACGGCATGCGTTGGCTCGGCCTGGTCGACCTTCCAAGTTAGGAACCATGCGATTCGGACTGCCAGTGTTTAGAAACGTCGGAGGCTATGTCGCGCAACCGGCATCAGTAGAGACAGTACTGTTCAACTGTGTTATCTATTAGTTAAGGTTTCATCGAACATTAAGCTACAAGACACAAAATACCAAAACGGTGTGCGTAAAACGGAAAATTTCTGTTCCTTTACGTTTTTTAACGCTTTATTTCGCAATGGTTCTGATGGCACATCATCTGTATCTGCACGTGTACATATATATATATATATACATATATACATATATATATTAACACGAGTTGAGTTATTAAAGTAGTGGCTAGTTGTGACAGCAATACGAGCATGAGCTATGATAGGATTGCAGAAATCTTGATGAAAGAAGCTTTTAGCGCAAAATCCCGCCCCTACCTTCGGAAAAGACGTCGATAATGGTTCGGCACTATAAGGAGGGAAACACTTCGGTGGTGCACATTCTTGGCTGCACCAGGAACGAACCAACGGATCCCCGATGCCAACGGTACATTGATAACGGCGGAAGAACTATATGAGAAAGAAACTGAGACAGGTTGGCTGCTCCATTCATAACATACAGAAAACAAAATTGGCAGGGTCTTGTCGGCTGGAAGCCGAATGCAATGGACGATATACAAATTACGACATTAATTCCTGACAGATCTAGTGCTAGTTACAACATCGCGATTCTGTCTCATACTCACCTGGATGCACACAGTATTAAACTGACTGTTTTCAGTTTGTCAAAACACCCAGTGGACTGCCCATGCGGAATGAACAAATCCTCCACCAATTCAGGCCAGTTCATCCTGAATTCTGTTGTGGCATTTGACGCGGCATATTTGTAAGTCGATGTGCTACAAACCAGCGTCCGCAGTGTGGAATCTTGCACTTCAGTTTTGAAACCTTGAGGGGTGAACACAATCACTACTCCGTCGCCAAAGCGCGGTTCGCCTCGCATAAAAACAATGGAATCCGTCACCCGAGAATAATGGCCTGGATCGTTTGTCTGCCAACCAACCTTTAGCCAGCAGAAAGGAAACAGCAGATCATGCATGCCGGTATGTATGGTAGAATAGTTAAGGAAGTGTGGTCTCAGCAGTGTGGGGTATCGACCGACCAGAAACATATTGAGACCCCGTTTGACTCCTTCGTCGTGGCACTTTTTATGTCCATCGCAAAACCCAATCTTTCCGGGATAGGCGATGAAACATTGTCCAGACCCGACATCAGTGAACCGTGAGGACAGGCTGACACACATTTAACAAGCAGAAGTGCATAGATCAGCGTATGGCTGAGTGTGAATTTCTTCACCTTGCTCATGTTTAATATAATTGGAAATATCCCAAGAGGAGGGAGATAGAGCATGAAAATCATCAAGGTGAAATCCACATCTCCTCGTTTAACACGGTGGGCAAATCTGCAGTATTGCGAAGGGCAGTTTGGGCCAATCATGTATCATTACGGATAACACATGTAGTTCCTTTAAGCTCAACCCCGTCACTCTACACGAAGGAATGCGACATGAATCGCTACTGGTCAGACGGGACAGGTACTAATCAGTTTTCCCGATTATATGTTAGAAAATTGAATGCATATTGTTCTCGGATTAACTGAGTCATATGAAGATAACATCACTCTCTGCAAAAATCGCTAATCTCTTGAGTGGTAAATCTCATCTGGTGTATGGGAGAATAGTTTGGCCTCAATTGGAAAATTTACTTATGAGAATACGTATTGCTACATAGGTTACTATGCGCACAACATGACTGTTGAAAAAATGCCGTTGCTGTAGTTGTTGATACCATGCAGTGCAACTAACTGCTGACAAATGTAACGACTACTGGAAATGCTTCGTTGCACCACAGTTGAATAATTCTATTACGAATGAATGTGATGTTGACAGGTCCTTTTTTTTGAAATGCAATCATTTATGTTTTGAATTTTTCTTTTACTTAGGAGGAACAATCCTATAATGAAAACTGCATTCACAGCCAACTTGATGGTATTTCCATAGCGTTAACCATCAAATGGCACTACGCGATTAACAGTATTGTTTAAGCATATTCTAAGTAAATGTGCCCCTTGAGGTATCACATAGATCGGTAAGCCCCTTCATACAATCTGTCGCACGTGAGGGATTTTTAGTATGCAGAAATTAATTAAGCTGCTGTACCCACAAGCCAGTGCTTGCTAATGGACATCCTGATTCACCAAGTTGAAACTAGGCACTACGAACTTCAAGCATGCTTGCATCTAATAACACTTAGCTATCATCCAGTCAACATGACTGCTCCCACACTTGAGACATATGCAGGCAGCATTTTCGGGGATCAGATCCTCAAAAACCCTATTCACCCATAACAAACCTCATTGAAACTCTGTTACAGCGCCTCACTTAGATGCCAGCATTTGAAGTTGGTAAAAGAGTATACCCACTTGAAATGCCGCCGGAACTTCTGCTCATTTATTGTGTCCCAACTGTGGAATTTTCTCCCGCGTTTTCTTATATTTGTTCCCATGTCGTCCGAAAGAGAACTTTGACTTGATGGTGAATTACACCACCTGATTGACGGGAATTCAAATACCTGGGCGGCTGTATTATCACCCGTGGGATAGAAGATAAGTTTACGAATCGCGTAGCAAAAGCTCGAAGTGCTTTTACCAACCTCCGCCCCCAGTGGGGCAGACGCTCCATTACTCTTGTCCTGAAGGGCAGAGTTTAAAACGCAGCCGTCCGCTCAACTCTCCTATATGATAATGAAAGCAGACTCATCAGGTCGACAGACATAAAGACGCTCGTCACATTCGACCATCGCTGTCTTCGCAACTTATCTCATGTCGGATGGCAGCACCGCGTGATTAATGAGCGTGTTTAGCGTCGCGTACTTGGTGCAAGTGAACCGCTCAAAACCATTATATCACGTCCCAGGCTCAGGTGGCTGGAGTACGTGTTGTGCATGCCAGCAAACCGACTTCCGCGACGTGCATTGTTTGCGCGCCGGAACTGCAGTTGAAAGAGTAGGAGGAGAGGCAAAGCGATGACTTGTTTGAGAGAGATGAAATCTCTCACTTCAAAGTTGGCTTCCGTTGGTGCATCCCAAATGCTTGGCTGGGGTTTTAAGGAGGATGAACACTTTCAGTTGGACACATTTGCTGATACGACTAGAGGCTGGCCCCAGTGGAGTTTATTTTGTGAGTTCCTTAGTCCATCCTCCTCTCTAATCACGATCGCATTCGTTAGGCATAACATAACTTATCGCGGCACGATAGCCGGTTGTTAGCTATCCGAACGATATCCATCTGTTACTGGGGACTCAGCCGGTTTGCCACTGTTATTATTGTTCTGTGTTTTCAAGGCAGCCAACGTGTATAATGATGATAATGATGTTACAGGATTTAATCCAAGTGACTGGGACAATCGAAAAAGTAATCAAACTAGGTGTACACTTGAAGTTTGCGATCAGTCCACTGTTCCACGTTTTTGGTTTTAATGCATCCAATTTTAAGCTCACTCTTCAACTACGGAAAACTGATACGCGGTTACCATAATGTTCATAAGAAATTCATTGTTTCATTGTTCCATATACTGGTTTATTGCTCTATATTACTTTTGAGTAACAGGATTAGGAAAGTCAGTTGCAATTCTTAGGAGCTTTAATCGTAGACGGTCCAAAACGGAAAGTCCACACACATCTGGAAATGCTGTAATTTTGTTCTAGTGGAATTCATCAATTGTGCTTAACCATCAATTATCTCGGAAACCGGACACATAATTCTTCGTTACCGGTGATTCTGGATATTAGGCCAATGGCGACGGTGGAATGCCGACATGATGAGCTGATTACAAAGTGGCTAGGCTTGTAATCCGTTGCAACACAGCTTACCCCCAAATTAAGAGGACGACGACAGTCTCTAGAGCTAGTCGTTTATTAAAATCTGTTTTGTGTACATTTCTTAAAAAACTAAAGATATTCCTTATATTTTGTGTACTTTTCGCCTTTTCCGTTGTGCATTATTGGTTTTGTTTCAATGCCTACATTACTGCCATTTTTACCTACGTCCGGCTCCTCACATATTCCCTCGGCGAGTTACGACACCGACCTTCGCCCTCGTCGCCGCATTCATTTTCGTCCGTTCGTAGCCTTCCTCGAATACAGTATGATGTGTCCTATCTTCCGGTTCCTGTTATCCGCACCAATGCCCGCGTACTATCTCAGACTAGTATATGTCAGTCCCACAAATTGGTGACTCCGATTCGCACACACGAATTTGAAACTTATCCTCGGTTAGCCGTTTTAGTGACTTCATTATTTATTTCGAAATACAAATGGATTTATTTGGTCCTTTCCTAATTAATCTCCCCTTAATTTTTAATTTGATCTTCACTATAAGCAACACACGCAGCATCCCAGTTGTTTCACAGCTTGAGCATGCTAACATTGGCTGTGCCGGATTTTGTAAAACTTGGTCCAGATATCTGGTTTGCTATTTTTGAGATCGATCTTGAATTTAGGGACATTCGAAGAGACCGATCGAGATAAAATCAGCACGTCTCATGCCATCCATTTTCGTCGTGACGCTGGTGCAAGGAGTTATATTCTACCCGTGGAACGAGGTGGAATACGAAACAAAGAAGCAAGCGATTTTAATTGAGTTACTGCCTAGCGGTCACTTTAGGTTGGAGCAACTTAATGGTCTCAAGTATTGTAGCCGCAAGCCGATGGTATTGCTGTTTTGCGAAATAGAAGGCATTGTTGATTCCATATCCTTGAGTAAAAGGGGCATACAGAGCTACGGTTTGCACGTCTAACAGAACCATTTCCGATACTGACGTACATGTTTAAGATAAGCGCTTGAAAGAACCTGCCACCACAGGGAATGTTGCGTGCCAAGGCCTTCAGCAGCAGACTACCAGTAGCACTGGTAACGTATTCACAGCGATGAAAACCAGCCTCACGCTCAGTTGTCAGGCCGATCTGACTCACGAGACGAGAGAATTGTGCTACTTCATGGTAGGGGGCTGTGATGAATGCTTTAAAGCAGCGTATGCTCTCGTCAGAGGCTAAACATGTTTTGACTACCGCTCACTGTGGCTCGTTTGCGCCTACGCTGAGTAGTATTTGTTCGACGCCGAAGCGCGACATTTCCTTGACACTTTCTCAGTCCGACAGTATTGAACTGAAGGATGAACTTTGCTTTTGTTAACGTCAGTATGGTGGGGATTCTTGACGTTACAGGACACCCTGTCTAAAGCACGGCACGGCCGCCCCAGGAAAACCAAAGATCTAGCAAACCAGCAAGACTAACGCATCCGTCACTAACAAAAATGTCGCCTGTTTTACGTTAAGCATCGAAGTTCTTCCATCAGGTTGTGGATATATATGGGTGTTTCGCTTCCCAACCTTGGCACACCATCACTTCCATCACTTTCCTCCTCCACACGGAAGCCAAGACGATCGTCATCCATAAGAACGCGAACGAAAAGCACTCAAAGCCCACGTACAACATGCGCGCGGCCAACGGTTATCCGATAGCTGCATTTCGTCAGTGTATGATGGGCTTATAAATCGCCACTGATACTTTCACCGAGTTTTCTTGGTTGCGACTGTACCCTTCGTCTTTAGCAGTACCGACTTCCGCTGTCATTTTGGATTGCTTGTTTATACTTATCTCCATAAACGTTAAGATGCCCATAACAACTAGGGGTTGATGGCGTCCTTTCAGATGCCCCGATAATCAGTCCTGATTTTCACATCGCAGACGCACCGTTTGAGTAGATGGGCTTTCTCTCCGAATACCTGCGACTGGTTCCACCGGTAGCAGATCTTCCAACCTTCACGACAAAGATTGCTCACCACATAATCTTGCGCCGTCAACCAGCTAGTGCAAGACAAAAACGGCTTGCTCTTGACAAACTAGTTGTAGCACGAAATGAGTTCGACCCCATGCTTTAGCCCGATATCCTCAGACCGTCCAACAGCACACAGGCGTCAACTCTCCACATGGTCCCTAAGTTCATTGGGGGCTGGCGTCTTTTCGGCTAGTAACGAGCCCTATATACCATTACAAAGCCGGACTGTTTTCCGACCCTACACATCGTGAATCGCACTGCCAGTATAGCATGCAAGTTAATATTCAGAAAAAATAGACTTAGTTCGCGCACACAATCAAATTCCGGTAGCAGAGGTGGACATCGCCGAGACTGTCATGCCAACCACACTTGGTTTGTTTGAATTCCTGCGCATGCGATTTGCTATA